ACTTCTGAGCTCAGCTGGGTAGAGCAAACATATATTTCGATAAGTTTCCGGAATATATATGTTGCCAACAACGGTAATCAACAACTTCTTCACAAAAAATTACTGGTCTCTATCTTTTACAATAGTTTAATGCTATTATTTATTCGATGCTAGATAACCTAAATAAAAATGGAGTTCCACCCTAGTGATATGGAAAACACTGGTGAAATATATATTTCACGACTACTGCATATCACCGCGAATTTCGTTTTTTTTTCACAGAGTATAGCGCCACTTCACTTGAAGTGAGCAAAACTCCAATTAATAATGAATACTCTTTTTTATACCATTCTTTCTCTACATAATTTCATATACAGATCTCATTCCTTGCCTAGTGTCGCAATCAGAATATTGTCAAAACCTATTTTTGATCATTTTCATACTGAGTCCTGCCGAATTTCCAAGATCAATATGATAAAAATTACTCACCATTTTAACTCACCTCAAATCGTTCCCTCTCTAGACAAACAACCGCCTTCATTTCCAAGTACAGCGTGAGCCCATCAGCTGCTGCGATTATTTTCTCACGAAGATCGTCACGTTTGATGTACATCAACTCAGTGAAGCTGTTACACACTCCTGTCGAGTCGTGTTCCATCTGCACATAATCACATATCAACAACAACTTCACATCTGAGCATATTTATTCAATGATATGAGGCTCATATCATTGAATAAATATGCTCAGATGTGAAGTTGTACAGGCTCATATTATGAGCCTGTATATAGTATTGGAGTTTCACCCGTGATATGAAAAACACTGCTGAAGAATATACCCTACGTGTGACTGCGATATGCAAAAGTGTGTTATTTTGAAAGACAATTTATAGTGAACAAGTTGTCGCTACCATCACATTCCCAGACGGGTACTTTCATCACGACACATGTCCATAGTCATTGTTACATTGTATATGCGATATGGTTTCACATTGATTCTCATTAACCTCGAAAAATAACGCACATTTGCATATCAAATTGACACGCTTTGTATTTCACGACTACTGATGCACCGCGAATATCGCGTTTTTCACAGAGTTTTACACCATTTCACGTAAAACGGGTCGTGAAACTCCATTGTTATCTGTGTCAGAGGTTATATTTTATATATTGGAGTTTCACCCGTTTTACGTGAAGTGGTGCAAAACGCGAAATTCACGGTGATATGCAGTAGTCGTGAAATATGTTTTTCACTAGTGTTTCTCTTATCACTAGGGTGGTGAAACTCCATTGTTATACCATGTTCTATTGTAGCATACCTCAATGAATAAGGATTGCTCCGCAACGTATTCCTGTGGTCCAATGTTGCTGACTTTAGTTGTCGTAGATGGACTTGATAACGCTGTAGCACTAGACTCAGCTGACAGCATCGGTCGTCTAGAACGACTCAAGGGTTTATTGCTAAGGCCACTCCATGACCTGGCAACCACATACAGTGTAG